ATGAGGCACGACCTTCATTTTTGGTTGTAGATGTGCGTAATGCCTATTTTGTTCTCTGGCCACTTGAACCGCACTACCGCACTTACATACATCACATGAGATATGAACTGTGTAAATGACTCGCTGAGTATTTGGATGCATTGTCATAATTATATTTCCCTAACATGAACATGCATGGTATTTAGTGTTTTGAACTTATTATATACTTGTAAGTGAGCTTGGGGCGGAAGAGTCCTTGAGGACCACTTGTCTTACTGAGATTTCTTGTTAGAAATCTCATCCCGTGTGGGGCACATTTTCAGGTACAGGTACCTCTGAGGTTGAGACCTCTGGCGACAGGAGGCCGAAGTTGAGCTGATGTGATGCATGCTTCTTTATTGCCATATTTTCATATGACTATGCCTGATTATCATTATATGGCTTTGGTACTTGAGACATGATCTTACTATGTTGTTTATTTGGTGAGCATGGGAGTTGTCCATGCCACATTGGTATAAGTTATGTTTATTTCAGACTTGAGTTGTAATACTGTATCAGGATATTATCTAATCTACGTGTTGTAACTCCATGACTTGTTACTCATTTTATGCTATGAGGTTATTCAATGTAGTTATTTATTGCAATTTACATGCAGGAAGTTTTTTGAAAAAGAATAAGTAAATCCACTTGGTTAATATGATAAGTTTCATAATTGAAAATTTTTAGCTTCCGCATTTATTGAGCTGCTCTAATACCATGTATGTGTTTAATACACCGACTGCACACAGGGCGTTACATCACGCATTAGCATTTTCTCATTCTTGCTCTTGGGTTTGACCAATGGATTGAAAATTATCTTCTTCATTTGGTATCAGAGCTATGCATATATGATTATAAGACCCAATTTTTTATTTATTAAAATAATTCTAAATTTGCATATAGAGCCTAAAGTTCATGATAAAATTTCGTTTGGAATTTTTCGCAATTGATCTTGAAAACCTTGGAATTTTTGTTCTGCGTGATGAGAGTTTTCTAACCATATATCACATGCATGTTTTTATTGAGTATTCTAAGAAAATTTCGAATCTGAATTTCTAGGTTTTATTACATGAAAGTTTATAAAATTTCTCAAATTACTTTCAATCGATACATTAAACCTTAAATTGCTTTGGGGCTTTTGAAAAACAAGGTTTTAGTTATCTATTGACACAAAAATTGTTTGAAATTGTTTTCTATAGCGAAGGAATTTTGTTCATGAATATGTTGTTATGAAATATGGGGTTCATATTTTGAAAGTTTCAATCTTCTTTGAAATGATATTGTTTCATTGATGTAAAATGAAATTTGGTTTGAGAATTTTACTTCCCCTGTTCTTTTCCCACTGTTTTATGTTGTTTTTAATACAAAAATCATATTTTTTGTGCCAAGAAAAATCGTGACCCATAGCTTCAAAACTTATTTTTTAAACTTCCAAAAGCTCTAAAAAATAGACTGTTTTTGAGATGGATTACGTTGTTTTGTTGTTTCTGGGTTATTTTGTGATGAAAAGCGCTCAAAAATCTGCTATTTTTGAGCTTTGAGGAAGCTCCTATGGCGAAACCCTGTTTCGAGCGGGTCAACCCACCAAAGGAAGAAGGCACTGTAATAGAGAAATCTCAAGAAATACTAGGGGTTAGGGTGAGATTGTGAGAGAGACATCCTATTTATATTTCTCACTAAAAAGTCTCACGAAATTCACACCAATAGAAAATTCATTAAAATTGTCAGATTTTTGAATACCACAATATTATTTTTTCTTTGTTTAAAATCCTGATTGAATACCAACAGATTTAGACGGACTTTAAAATACTTTTAAAATCTTAATCGAATATAACGTGATTTTTTTTTCAATCCTTTAAAATCCTAAATGAATATCAATGGATATTTTTATCCAAAAATAATCCATTAAATTTCTTTAAAATCCCAATCCAATACACCCCCTAAATCTTTAGCATTTTTTTTTAATCACCTAATGCTAGGAAATATCTGGATACATTAAGCTAATTATATCATTAGTTATGATAAATTATGATAGCTACTATAAATAATTTATAGTAATTATCTGCTAGGACTTAAGTATAAATTGAAGGTATATCATCAGAAACGCGGAAGCGCGTCGTAGTACCATTGCGATGAAGAAGAGAGACACTGTTTTGATTACCTGGGGTGAAGTAGCGAGCGTGACAATTTCTCACGTTCAGTTCTCCTTCTTAAGCCTCACGATCTGCAACAACGCACCACGAACGGTCGCAATTCCGCTCTATGGTTGATCTTCCAGGCTATGACTCAAGGGGATCAAGGGGTTGTGTGGGCAACCGTTCAGATGATGAACGTCTGGCTCTTTGGTGTGTTTCTGATGTCTGTAACCCTTGGAGACACTAGAGAGAAAAGAGAGTTTATATACCTTGCCCAATCCAAAACTAACCCTAAGCTTCATGAGTTAAAATTAGACTTTGGGCTCACTCTCACTAAAGTTATTGGACTTAAGTGAAAACAGCATACTAAACCCAACATAAATAAGTTTAACTTGAGCGGTTTGAACGCACTCAACAATCAAAATGAGAATTAGTCTCCCATTTAAAAATTATAAAAAAAAAAAAAAAAATCTTCTTCTTTTTTGGAGATATTATTAAAAAAAGAGGAAAATGAAGGAAGTAATTGAAGCCAATAATAACACCCATGATGTGCTTAAATGCTCAATTGGAAGACAACTAAAGACTCAGGTGAATCAAAGAGGGACATCAAGTGGAAAATGATGTCCATTTGCTCTATTTGAGACTTTCAAATGAGATTATCTATGATTTTTGACTTACCATCAAGAAGTTTGAGAAAGCATTCTTTGTCATTGCCTAGTCTAGTTTTAAAGCCTACAAAAGAAAAACAAATATCCAAATCTAGGGCAGCTACGCCGACCCCTATCATGAAAATTTCTACTCATGTAAAGAAGAAATCAGAATTGAAAGCAAAAGAATAGCTGAGTTGAAAATCAAATCAGAATCCATATATTTGGCTTGGCATATTTGACAACCTAAAAAAAGCATCTGCACCTGCGCGCATAATATTTGTGTTTTTCCTCTTTGTAATGCTTAGTGTCATTTTGTATCTACGGAAATTTGAGTAACTTCAACAGACTCAAACTGCAATAATTTCAAATAAAATAAAAGGAAAAATCATTAAATAAAATAGTGTTAGAGATATACCACACAATGATTATATTAAAGTATCATAAAGTCCTGTAACCATTTAATTTATATGAAAAATACTATATGACTGAATAGAGTTTTTGTGAAATGATTTATAAATGAAAAAAAGTGTACAAAAGTAATTGCATTTTGTAATTTACTCATTTACTTGCTAACTTTGCTATTTCCTTTCTTTAATTATGATTGGTTATTTACCAGAAACTTTGCTAAATTTATATTATATATTTTCCTTCAAATGGAATAAGGCTGGACTGATAAAGAACAGGATTCTAGACGTTCATTGAAGTCAAAGGAAGAAAAGATATGAGGTTTGTAGGCCTCATCCCCATTGGGTAACATGATGGAATTTCCTACCATTAAACAGCTACGCAAGGGTTTAAAGGGAAAGAGTGATTGTTGCTGACCCTGAGAAACCAGAGTCCAAATGTTTTCATATTTAACATGTTCTTTATATTTACAGGAGGGATATTCTCACAACCAAAATTTTTCACTAGCAACTTACTACCTATCTAATCACCATTAGATTAATATTTTCTCGCTCTTCAAAAACTTTTTAACATTTTCTCTCTTTGATCCAATGGTGATGTGATGGGTAGTAAGCTAGTAGTACGAATTTTTGGTAGTTAGAAAATCCTCACTCTTATATATATATATATATATATATATATATATATATATATATATATATAGGATCAGGATCATTTTACACCCGTGTAAGTTACACTCTCAATCTTGACTATTGATCTCACTCATATCTAAGGGTTCTAATTTTTTAGTAATGTGAGCCATCGAGTACTAGTGGATCAATGCTCAAGATTGAGTGTAAGACTTCTAACTCTTACACAGGTGTAAGAATATCCTGCCCCATATATATATATGAATGTCTCTATGGGATCAACAGACAAGATTGAGAGTGTAACTTATACTGGTGTAAAATGATCCTGGCCCTATATATATATATATATAGGGCAGGTTATATTTACAAACTTTTTTATTTACAAACTACTCCTCTTGGGAGAACACTAATCACACTATCTTCTCCCAGAAGAACATAGTGCAATTTGTATAAATTTGTAAAAAAAAAATTGTAAACGGATCCTTCCCCTATATATATATATATATATATATATATATATATATATATATATATATATATATATAACATCCAAAATGTTAGCAAAATAGCTTCTATTTAAACCCTAAATGTGATAGCTTTCTCACTATATTCATCCAAAAAAATTATTGTAAAGAAATTTTCAAGTGTTACGTCTAAATACGAAATAGCTTCTCTTTAAACCATAAATGTGATAGCTTTCTCACTATATTGACTGTATCACCAGAGCCTTTGTTGAAATTTCAATTTATCACTATAATTTTTTCATTCAAACGATTTTACCATTATTCCAAACGCTTTTACTTTTTTATGTTATGATTTTACAATTTACAAATTTTCATCCCCACTTTCTATCTTACGTAAAATCTCGATTTTAAGTACCTTGACCACAGGTAACTGGCTCTACGAAAACTTTTTAACATTCCACCCACAAAGTGAGAAAAGACCAAACCCTCCAAAGTCATTCACCATCTTCATGCTCTGCTAAACTAATATACAATCCATTCATCATTCAAGTTCAAAAGCTAACTCAGATCATCTTAAATCTCAAATATTATAGCCAGCACTCAAGGACCATGCATAAGGAAAATTAAGCACTAAACTTTTCAGCATAAGAAAGATGGACTCGGTTTAATTAACAGAGAAGATAAGAGCAATTCCTCGAATTAAACCTTTTTTCTTCCTTGATTTCATTAGATATTAGATAGAGAGTAAATAATGCCCTACGACCAAATGAATTACAAATCAAAGGTCAAGAAAACTGTACACAAGAATAACGAAAAAGGAGGAAAAAGGAACTATGCTTTGCACTAATAATTACAGACTCCCCACGCTAAAAGAGGCAGGCAGTTCTGAATGATGAACCACTTCTTAATCTCTAATGAGTGTTTCACCAGGGTTCCCCAAACCATGCAAAATTTCACTGGTCCCACATGGCCTGGAATATGGCAGGTCTGTGCCTCAACCAATGAACCATCTCCTTGTCCAGCGGAGAGTTATTAATTACAGCGTCTAACATTGGGCTGCCAAAAATTTTCGGAGAACTTTTGAATGACCATATCCGATCTTTAGGCCAAGGTCTCTGGGGCTGCTTCTCCTGGATAAACAAAGCAGCAGATGATTAACCACCAACACCAAAGACTAGAAATCACAGAAAGCATAGTACAAAGACCACTCAGTCATTATTAGCTCACACGGAAATTCATGTGTGCATTCTCCTAAGCGTTAAACAAAGTTTTGCATTATAAGAACTCACCAAGTGCAGCAAGTTACAACTAATATTACCCACCAACAGAAACTTAACTACCACAAACTAAATAGCATGGCCATCATAATGCCAGGGGCGCAAACTACCTTTCTACATTTTATTTACATGTGACGGTAACAAAGGCAAAATGAAAAATTAACTCATGAAAAATATTTAATCCAAAAACACACATTTATTTATTTATTCATTTATTTATTTTTCTTTTCCCTCAACTTTTTTTATTTATTATTTGAATTTATCAACCACCAACCCAATTAGTTTGAGATAAAAGGTAACGTTGATGTTGACACCATATAACCTTTGATTGCTTTTGATTACCAAATTTGGCACACAGCCAGCCAAAAAAAAAGTCTGCAACCAGCCATAGAAAATTCAAGCATCAGTGATACTGGTCATCTTTCCTTTAACCCAGTAACTACCCTTTGTCAGAACTCAACTACTTCCAAGTAATATATTCTTAGGGACAAACATTTCCTATTTGTTATTTTCCCTCAAAAAGCAGCCTAGGTTAGAAATATACTTGAAAAAAACTAACCATTCTTGCCAGCATGGATCTGACAGTCCTTGGACCATAAACACGATGTCGAGAAGGCTTCTGAACCTTGGCGTAAAAGGAACTGATGTCTGGTAATGACAAGCATCCCCTGCTGACTCTAGCCAGGGTACAATCTGGTTCTGCATTACTCTGATTATGCCAAAAAATTAGCTGCCCTAAACAATAATTATCACCATATATCTTCCGGTACTCCTGAAATCCTGTTCCCAACTTGTCAGTGTACTTCGGACCTAAGTCAAGCGGACTAATATAGACAGGCGGTGAAGTAGTAGTTTGATAATCCTGCACAATTTAAAAAGAAAAAAAAAACTATAATTTAAAATGACAGGAAGAGAAGAAAATTTTCAAATTATATTGCAAAGCTTATAGAACATACCCGTATCCTAAAGAAGTATTTGGTATAAGCATAAATATGGATCAAGTCAGCAGCAGCATCATGCCGACATTTGTATGTACAAGGAAGATTTCGAACCTCATCCCTCAACCTTTAGAAGAGGGGAAAGAAACATCATGTAAAAATTGTTGAGTTTCACCAGGATAAAATACACACAAACATACTTACTAGTAGTGCAAGCACTTACCACAATAGAGATTTCTGAACCTCTTTTCGTATATCCCCAGAACTTGAAGGATCACGAGCATGAATTTTGGACTTGAGATCATTCAGGGTAGACTCTTCCACATGAGGAGCCAGGCACTGAAGAAGCTCCCCAACAAATGAATCCTCTCCTTTCCAGAGGAAGGAAACAACTGCTTCAGGACTGAGCTTCTCAAGAGGAGGTGGAGCTTTCAGTGGATCACCAAAAATACATCTCATGACATACCTTACCTGTAATACTACTCAAAAATTAACATCATCTTCAAACAACAAAAATACAGATCTACATTAAGATCTGAATGTATAGAGTGCAATTGACACCATCGACTTCATATTAAACTGAAGAGTGTAATTGTTAAGTGCTTGACATAAATATTAGATCTAAAATTCTTGACCATCTAAAAACTGGCATGCCATGCAGCTTCCAATATTAAATAGTATTAGTGGTTCTTATTAGCAATCATCCTTACCAAAAAAAATTGACCTTTTCCATTTCTCTTTTAGGATAAAATTTTAAATGCAAAGTGATTCTTGTTGTCTTCATTAAAAACTAGAATAATAAAGCAGAAACACAAAGTAAAGGGGGGGATACAATCACCTTATCAAGAGTGACAGCAAGATTCTGAAGCCTCTGGTTGTATACACCCTCAGCCTGAGATAATATAAAAGACGGAAGGAAATAAGTGTTATTTAAACTTTTCTTCTTTTGATAATAAAGCATTGTAAGAGAAACAAAGAGCACACCTGAACCTCTGCATCACTCCTCTCAACTTCAAGACATACATCTGAAAAATATTTTCTTTTTTCTTCCAGATTATGCTTTAGAATTTCCTCAGGAAGTTTTGTTCTTTCAAAATTGACAAATCTCACCTTCAACAGATTATAAGTGTCAGAAAAAAAAAAAAATAACAGCAAAAGCTGCAAAACAATGACAAAACACAGAAGCAAGGTACATACAAGGCGAGCTGCATAAGCAACTAGCCAATCTGGCAGGCCTCCAAGCAAACAACTGCCTAAACCAGCTCTTCCCAGGTCATTATAGTCCTCTTCAGAAACGAGGTTTGATTCACAAGCTTCTAGCATCAAATAATGGCGATCAAGAATTCCATGCCATTCCTTCAGTACCTGAGAGGACAGACAAAATAATCCAGTCAACAGCTTAAGTGACCAAACAACTATAATAATAAGACCATTCCACTTATTAGAACAACCCTGGCTAGGGTTTCATGAACGGCCAACATTCTAAGCATGTCTTAAACTAAAACTGATAACTAATGTTCCAAAAGTCAGGATTGGTTCGCAAGAAACAAGGGGGAATACATATCCAGGCAGTGTCTGGCTTTTTTTAATTTTTTGAAATTTTCCAGCAACTTGTTTCTGAACACAGCTGCGACTAGGTTTGGACATAGGTCAGACAATCTGCAGTAAGTGCAGTGCCTTTCCCTCTCCCAATTATCTACTCTTCATCACATAACTCTCTCCCTCTTGCAGTGCTCATCCACCTCTCCCCTGTAATTTTTTTCCCTTCTTCTGGTTGGGAGACTTGGCACAACGATTGGTGTTTGATTCATGTAAGCAAACTATTGCAAATGCAAGGTAAGGCTGCCTACTATAGACTCACACCTTGAGTCTTACCCTTCCTTGGACCTTGCACATAGCAAAAGCTTTATAGCATCATGCTACCATTTTTTTCCCTTCTTTTGGTTCTTTGGAGAAGAGTCTTCTTGTAAATTTAAAAAAGTTATAAAAGCTAATCGTTAATATTCAAAAACTGTCAAGAAATAATTCTCCTAAAATCTTAAACTATTCGGTGGAGGCTCATGAATTTTTATATATAACTCATCCCCTCATGCAAGAAATAATGCAAGGCTCACTCTACCTTGTACTAGAATTTTTATTTTAAAATTTAGAAGAATGAAGGTGACAAGGATTCTCAAGCCTTAATCATTTGGGTCATAGAGGCTCGAATACATTGTCAATGAAACATTCTCCTAAAAACTTAAGTAGCTGGATGCTCATGAATCTAACAGAAGTTTTACAAGCTTTCTCGTGACTTAAGAGTAAGCTTTTTCTCGAGCCATACCACAAGTGTCCCCAAAATGCACATAAAACATGAACAATATAGGACAAAATACGTAGCCTTTTTTTTTTTTTTTAAATATAGCACATTGATAGACTAGAGAAACACAATAGAACCATTTTTTATGCACAAGAAAAATCAAAAAAGACAAACAAAATTAAACTTCTAGTAATCAATGACATATAACCAAATGTTTTAGGAATCACTTTTTTTTTCAATCTTAATCCTATATAAAAAAAATATAAATATATTAAAAATAATAAGATAAATTATAAAAAAAAAAAAAAGCAACTAAAAAATGGTAGTGGATCAGGAAAATAAGGTAAATGATGCTAATTTTTATAATTATAATATGTTAAGATAAATTTATGACTCGTGTTAAGGATTGTGCATTTATATTTCAGAATATGACATTATGAGAAATCAATGGTTAAGATTGAGTGTAAATTGATAATGTCCCTATATGTCATGTCCTATATTTATTAGAAATGTATTATGTCCTTGTCTGTGTCTTGTCATATCTGTGATTCCTAGACTACCATTTATCTAACTACCGTAGTATCTCACTCATTGGTATCTGTTACGGTCCAATTGTAAAGCATGAGACTTAAAGTTCCATATCAGAAACATAGGTTCTAGTGTGAGATTTAAATGGACTTTGGGCTCTCCTACCTTACAAGCTAGCTTTTGAGGTGAGGCTCTCCCAAGGTTCGTCTCAATTGGTATCAAAGCTTTGACTATGTCTCCCAGTTGCAATTGAGCGGCGTGACTGGTGACCCTGGCATTGTTGTATTCGCCCAGGACTATTAAAAAATTAGTGCCAAGCCAGGCGCGTGAGCACCGGGGCTGCAAAGCGTGGTGGCATCTTACGGTCCAGTTGTAAGGTATGGGACTTGGAGTCTCACATTGGAAACATAATGATACGATCCTAGTCAGCAAACATATACGGCTATTTTGGGTTTTCAGTATTTTGTCACCTTTATTGATGATTTCTCCCGTTGCACTTGGGTTTATTTAATGAAAAATCGTTCTGAGTTATTTTCAATTTATCAAAAGTTTTGTGCAGAAATAAAAACTCAATTTGGTGCTTCTATTCAAATCTTGCGCAGTGATAATGCAAAAGAGTATGTGTCTCTTGAATTTTCTAAATTTCTGGATACACAAGGGACGATACACCAGACTACTTGTCACCACACTCCACAACAAAATGGAGTCGCTGAACGTAAAAATAGACATCTAGTTGAAACTGCACGTACCCTTCTCATTCATATGAACGTCCCACTCCGTTTTTGGGCAGATGCTATTATCACCTCATGTTTCCTTATCAACCGCATGCCCTCTTCTGTGCTAAATAATGATGTTCCCCACAGTATTTTGTTTTCCGGAGCACCTTCTTATCCTCTGCCTTTACATATTTTTGGCTGTACTTGTTTTGTTCATGATCTTACTCCAGGTAAAGACAAGTTGACATCCAAGGCCTTCAAATGTATTTTCCTTGGGTATACACGTTTTCAAAAAGGGTATCGTTGCTATTCTCCTGATCTCAAGCGTTATATCGTTTCTGCTGATGTCACTTTCCTTGATCAGCAGCCTTTTCACTCTACTCCGTCTCCAGTGTCCCAAGTTGATCAAGTCCTTCCTGTTCCTTTTCTTGACTTGTCTTTACCAGCTGCAGGTGACCCTATTCCAGAGGAGCAACCAATTACCTCCATACCTGCAGATCGTCCTCTCCTCACATACCAGCGTCGTCAACCTGCACCTCCTCCGACTTTGCCTCTTGATGACTCATCGCCCTTTCCCGTTGGCTCTTCTCCTCCGGATCCTCCATCAGAGACTCCTCCCATTGCCCTTCGGAAAGGTATTCGATCCACTCGAAATCCTCATCCCCTTTATTCTTTCTTGAGTTATGACAGACTTTCTTCACAACATTTTACTTTTGTTTCTAGTCTCTCTTCTGTTTCCATCCCTAAAACCACAGGTGAAGCACTATCTCATCCAGGGTGGCGCCAGGCGATGCTTGATGAAATGCAGGCACTTCACTCCAATGGCACTTGGGATCTAGTTCGTGCTCCTCCCGGGAAGTCTGTTGTTGGTTGTCGATGGGTGTTCACAGTTAAAGTTGGTCCTGATGGCACTGTTGATCGCCTTAAAGCTCGCTTAGTGGCCAAGGGATACACACAGATCTTTGGTCTTGATTATGGGGATACCTTTTCTCCTGTTGCTAAGATGGCTTCTGTTCGCCTGTTTCTTGCCCTTGCCGCCATTCATCACTGGCCCTTTCTCCAACTTGATATTAAGAATGCTTTTCTACATGGTGACTTGCAGGAGGAAGTTTATATGGAGCAACCACCAGGTTTTGTTGCTCATGGGGAGAATTCTGGAATGATATGTAAACTTCGGAAATCTTTATATGGCCTGAAGCAATCTCCTCGGGCCTGGTTTAGCCGCTTTAGTTCAGTTGTTGAATCCTTTGGATTAATCAGAAGCAAAGCCGATCATTCTGTCTTTTACCGGCATAGCTCTTCTGGCCAGTGCGTTTATCTCCTGGTCTATGTTGATGACATTATCATTATAGGCAGTGATCAGACCGAGATTGATCAGTTGAAAGAGCATTTATTCAATCAATTTCAGACCAAAGATCTTGGCAGACTTCGATATTTCTTGGGGATCGAAGTTGCACAGTCTAGGCGGGGCATTTCCATCTGTCAGAGGAAGTATGCACTGGATATCCTAGATGAGACTGGCATGTTAGGCTGTAAACCCATTGATACACCTATGGACCCCAATGTTAAGTTATTACCAGGACAGGGGGAGCCACTGCCAGATCCTAGTCGCTACCGCCGACTAGTTGGAAAATTGAATTATCTTACTGTGACAAGGCCAGATATCTCCTTCACAGTGAGTGTTGCAAGTCAATTTCTTGATTCTCCCTGTGACTCCCATTGGGATGCAGTTATTAGAATTCTCCGATATATTAAAAAGGCGCCAGGAAGAGGTTTATTATATACAAATAAAGGGAGTTCAGAGATCTCTAGTTATTCAGATGCTGACTGGGCAGGTTCTCCTTCAGATAGACGATCCACCTCAGGGTATTGTGTTCTCTTCGGAGGAAATTTGATCTCTTGGAAGAGTAAGAAGCAAACTGTGGTCGCCAGATCCAGTGCGGAGGCAGAATATCGGGCAATGGCAAATGCAACCTGTGAGCTCATCTGGCTGAGTCAATTGCTGAAGGAACTCCATCTCTGTGAACAAAGGCCTATGAAGCTCATTTGTGACAACCAAGCCGCTTTGCATATATCCTCTAACCCAGTCTTTCATGAGAGGACCAAGCATATAGAAATTGACTGTCATTTTGTTAGAGAAAAGATCCAGTCAAGGGAGATCAAGACAGCATTTGTCAATTCCAATGATCAACTTGCGGATGTATTCACTAAAGTTCTTAGAGGTCCCCGAATAGATCATATTTGTAACAAGCTGAGAGCTTTTGATATATACGCACCAGCTTGAGGGGGAGTGTTAGAAATAATATTAATTTATTATTATTAGAATAGTCTAGATTGTGGGCTTGGCCCATTAGGTCATCCCATTAGGTCTTTTAGCCTCTATAAATAGAGAGCCTCCTTGTACAGACTTGCACACTTGAATATACAATATATTTCAGATTCAATTTATTCCATATTATCTTTACCTTTGTTGCTTGTTATTTTCATTTGGATTCTGTAATTTCTTTCACGTTACGATTTTACTTTTAGGACGTTTCTGTTTGTAATTGTTGCTAGGAAATATATGAATGAGGAATATTGAGATCCGAGTTCTTGAGTAAGCTATGTTTTACATTGATTAATTGGTTGGTCCTTATCACTTAAGGTTTTGGTGTGAGATTTATATGGACTTTGGGCTCTTCTACCTTACAAGCTAGCTTTAGGGGTTGTAAAGAACCAATCCAACAAAAAGCTCTCACCCAACACCTTAAGGTTTTGGGTTGAAGTGATTCTTTACAAGGATGAGGTTCTCTCAGTGTTCATATCAGTATCAAAACACAAAACAAATAAAAGATAGTAGAATGCAGCTAGGAGTGTCTGTGGTGGTGTCTGATGAGTGTTGAAGAGAGCCCAACTGCAATATGGAGTCTATTTGGACATGTATGTGTTTTCTTGATTTTCTGCTTTCATCTTTTCCTAGTAGCTAAAAGTTAAAAGATTTCCCAAGTCCAAACCTTTTGGAAAGCCCCTTCACCAGTCAGATTCAGATAACTCCCACGGCAAACTTGGCTTCCACACAAACAAACAGATGCTTCATATTCCTCCTTGCTCTGCAGTGAGATGAAACGGTATTCATTAGACAAAGATATAAAGCAGATACAATTTTCCTTTGGAATGGAAAAGGTTGGCAGGCAACAGGACAAACCTCTGTAACAGAATTATAATCAAAAGTGATCTCCTCACCATGTTGAATTTTACGAACACTATAAATACCGATTTGATAATGGCCATCAACAGCAGTCACTCTGAAAAATACAAAAAGGAAAAGACAGTGGCCAATTACAAAAATGATATTTCAATTCAAAAATGTAAAAAGGATTTCACCCTGATATTATAACCATAAGCTAACGAATAAAACTCCAAAGGCATTCTTAGGGATGAATAAGAATTTGTTAGTTGTTTAAATATCAGACTCATTGTCTAAATCTATAACAGGGTTGCATATAGCCATGCAATATAGAAGAGATGATGGGAGAGGGGTAGGGGGATTTTGAGGGGGAGGTAGAGAAAGGGGAATTTCAGGAAGAGGAAAGAGGTATTTCCTAAAGAAAGGAGATTTCAAGAAGGGGAATTTAGAGGAAGTAATAATGAGTGTCAAACAATATTTTTCTAGGCGAGCATAAATTAGATATGGATTTTTCACTTCAATAGTAAGTAGCTAGACTAAATCTAAAAATCAACTATGCCCATCGATATTATGAATTATATACCGTAATTTAATATATAAATATAATTTTAGATGATTTTATAAAAGATACCTTAATATGACCATATCATAGATTTTAGAAAAATCGACATATCCAATATCCAAAAATTGTGCTATATCGGTTTCAACACCCATACCCAAGCAAACTACCTACTACTAAAATTTGTTATCAAAAAGCAACCTATAAAATTTTATTTACACTCAAGGAACAAAATATGGTCATTTAGTCATAAATGTCAGTAGTGACCTCCTTTACAACTGAATATCCATAACCTTAAATGAACAAAGACAAGCTGTCATTGAATCTTTTAACCTTAGTAAGATATATATTTTTTAAGTCCTTCTCAAGCCAAAAAAAACAGCCATTAATGTCTTGTGGCTATTTTACCAAACTTTTTGACCAGAATACAGAAACAAGAAGCCATGACATTTAAAAGCATCCAAAAAGGGACACATTCTAGAACGAAACGGAAGGAAGGAGGAAAAAAGGAAATGACAACTTCTGCTGTTGATTATTAGATCCAAAACCGATACTAGTGCTCAAGTTTGAAGAATTGGGCATTCAAATGCTTAATATCCAAATAACAATGCCTTAGCAAAATATAAAAAATTAGAATAAGGAACTATCCTAATAAAAATGTACATTCAAAATGCCCCAAAGAATGACTTTATTTGGCCATCAGAAACAGCAACGTTGTTTACAGCCTTCTTAAGCCACAGGCAGGTCAATAGCGGCATTAAAAGGCACTATAATTTTCAAGGAAGCCAGGGGCGGACCCACACTTGGGCAAAACACAAATGTTTGTATGTCATTCTTCATGCATTATGGAAATCGATCAAGGTAACAATGATATAACATGCACTAACAAAAACTATCATGATTGCAGTTGGTAAATGAGTGGGCAGAATCTTTTAAGCATGTGGCTCCCCAAATATGTAAGCAATGCACTGAAATAGCAAACAAATTATTTTAAAAGAAACAGAACCAGAATCAAGTGCTTAAGAAGTCAGCACATAGATTAAAACAATCACAGAAGACACGAAAACTTACTTTGCTTCACAATTAGGTCGGCATGAATGACATATTCGACTGGCATAGTTAGCCTTATGCATGGCATCAACGACAACTAAGTCATACCCATCAGCATCCCCCTGTCATGCAAATTGAAGATTAGATAAGCACAGAAAACTGAAAGATGGAAAAACATATCAAGCTAAAACAACAAAATTTCTATTCTTAAGCAAAAGGAACCTTTGGCCTCTCAAGGTAGATGTTATAGAATTCTGGAGCTGGATCTTTACTACTTTTCTGTAGAGACCGAATCCCATCTTGTTTCTCGAACCACTTCCACACAGGATACACCTAATAAAAAATAATTTCAATAGACAGGAAACAAAAATGCTTAACCATAACAAAATAATATAGGCATATGATCCTACAGAGTACATACTAGGTTTCTAAACAAGATAGCCTAATGTAAAGAAGATGCACTGAACCATGACAGCACATCAATTCAAAAAACAAACACCACATATATAAGCATATATTGTCCATGAGACATTTATGCCAACTTTAGCTGACAAAACCAGAAATAGTCCAGATCCCAGAGGGAAACTAGAAAAGGGAACGGTAAAAAATGTAATGAAGCAAAATAAGAGTAAAGATTTAAGACCACAATGCTGTATGCGTAGTGCAAACACCACAAAACTAATCATTTCGTACTTAATATCTTAATTTCAAATCTAAAACACAGGAATGCCTCGGTTTGGCAAATCAATCACAAATAGTTTTATCATGGAGAGTAAATCATGTGCAGACAATTATCTACTCTCTCTGTTAGATACATTATTGTGTAGATATTTAACATTATACAGGAAACCTGTTAAGCAAGCATGCGCACATCCAAGAATCATGGATGAAACCGCATAGGCAAAATGTCATGAACATAAAATTATTTGGTATATTACTTATTAAATATATAATTTATATATTGAATTTATTATATTAATTATAATATATATATTTAATTATTATATATATGAAGCCATACCTCTCCCAGAAACTCCACAACAAAATCATCTTCACCAAAGCCTTCTTCCTTGTTGCAAACAACACCAAGTCCCTGCATAATCCAGATCAATAGACAGTTACAGAACATGGAAAAATAACAATTCAAAGAAGGAAACAAAATGAGAAGATAACACCTTCAACAAAGAAAACCAATGGAAGATAACTACTAAATTGTAGTTTTATACTCACACACAAAGCATATACCTTTCTATAAGCTACATATTTGTCATCCGGACGACTGGCCATGGCTTTTACGATACCTTGACACATTCTCACCATCTTTGCATCACAGTGCTCCTCAGCACACCTTTCAATTTCTTCAATAACAGGCTGCAAAGCATAGCTCATTGGAGTGCTTCCAGTTCCAGTAAAATATCTAACTTGCTTATTCAATGTCCGTAGGAGTATGTCTTCTATAAACAAATGCTTCTCTTGTAGAGACCAATCTAACTCCTCTGGCATAGAATCAAGTAAAAGATTGTGTGTAAAGGGATCAATTCCATAAACTTCTTGCTCAATAACCTCATTTCCAAGCTGCTTTCTAGGTTTGTAATCCTTGACTTCAGGCAGCTCCATATCAGACTCCTCAGTGCCATTCTTTTGTGCACTCAACTTCTCTGCATAGTCATCTGGTAATGATACCCGCATCTTCCTTCGTACATCCTCCTCATCTGCTACAATGATATATTGATCAATGACATCATATTTCCGAGTAACAGGTGGAACCAGACTTGCTTTCGTCATGCGAGCTCCCCATTCACGCTCATCATTAATGAAATCCAACCCATCATTGCGTGTAAAGTATCCATCTCTTCTTGACTCCCTAATTTGATTTTCTGGGTCACTTTCAGTGTCAGAGGTTGTAGAATCACCATCAGTCTTTCCATCTTCAGAAGACCAATCCAGGTTATCATCAGATGTCTCACTCTGAGAGTCCATAGATTTCTTATTCAACTTTGATAAACGCCTCCTAATTTCTCTATCAGAAGCATACTCTCCATTATCCAAACCACCATGTGTTTCATTACTCCTATACTTCCTCTCAGTCACCAATCTATTCTTCTTGCACTTAGAGGAAGTAGAAAAGAATGCGGACGGTGATTCATTTCCCCATAACTTCAATAGTGCATCTCTGTCATTCACATATTTAGAACTCTCCTCCAACTGTGTTGCAAGCTGAATAAATAAAGTAATGACATGATTCATATCACTAGCATCAACCCGATTCTTTGCTCTGTAATCAATAAGCATAGAAATACATTAATAATTAAATAAACAAGTGCTGAATGAACAAATCAATAAACAGAGGCACCCAACCACTACATATATTATCATAAATTTTCATTAAGATATGAGGACGCAAAAGAACTAAGACATATGTAGGCCCTCCAAACAAATTATGGATGAAATATTTCTATGATTGCAAAGCAGTAATCAAGAATCAAACATGACCCCCTCACCCCCATGACAAGAAGACAATTTAGTTTCAGGTACCTCTGTTTATAAAACAATTCGACCATGCAATTTACTCAATCCAGATTTTGACAAACTTATAAAAAATTATAGGTTCTTTTGTATTCTTGTCAGCATAAGCCTATCATTTCATAAGTACACACAAGCACACACACACAGATACATGAAATGATGAAACAAACGATGGAGACTGAGCTCCTTACAATTCCACGAAACTTAAAAAGAAATTAAAAAAAAATAAAAAAAACAGACCTAGACAATTCAGCTCAAGACACTGGTTAACAGAGAAGCAGAATAAAGTCATAGCAGACAGAAAACACACAAGAGAACCAAACCAGGGGTCTGTTTGAATGTGTTTTATTTTTTTTGTTTTAAAAAACTGTTTTGAATATAAATTTTGAAAACTGATTTTGAGAGTAAAGATACAATAAACTTGTTTTAATAGGTTAGATTTAAAATTATAAAGAAGTTGTAATTATTTACAAAAATGCCATTACGAAGTTTCATAATTACAAGATTGCTAAAATTAAAAAGAAATTAGATTTATTTACAAAAATACCATTAATGAATCCTCATATTAACAAAATTGCCACCGCAAGAACAAGAAAAATCAAAAAACAACTTTTGAGAACATCCCTATGTTGTTCTGCATTTTTGTTTTTAAAACTAAAAACCAATTATTATTTTGGGAGTTATTTTTCAAAACAACCCTTTCCAAACAGGTTTTTTTACATTTTTGTTTTAAAAACCCAAACTATTTTTAAGATTAGAAATAAAACATACCCCTGGCCTTCAAGAATAACAATTTCCAACCCAATTCACTACTCAGAACATGCGTGAGAAACCCCACCCAAAGCACTACCTACATATAACAGCCTCCCTCCTGATCATTATTCCTCTCTCTATCCTCATTCCTTCCCTCAGTAATTCCTCTGGGCTCATTTGCATTGCTTGACCTGGGCCCAACTATCACAGCCTGATCCTTCTTCCTTCTTCTACCATATACAAATTTTAGAGGCAAAATACCACAAACACATATAAATCACTCCTTGAACTAGCAAGCAAGGGTAGAGGTTTGTACGCAGTCTTACTCTTGCATATTTATAAAAAAGCTCTTCTCCAAATTTGAACTTGTGACCTTTCAATCACAAAGGAGTAGCTTTACCACTACTCCTAACTCGCCCTCTTACACAAACACACATAAAAACATACATAGATACATGCATAAAATAACCATAGAATCAAAAGAAAAAAATGACAAGCATCTCCTTCTGTGAAGAAAAATGGGGAAACAGAAAACATAAACCCACTTTATTGCATCACGGCACATTCTACTGATGTCCTCCTTGAAAGAGCTCAACCCATGCCCAGTGTAATAACCAGTTTTCATTTTAGCTTCAATTTCTGCAACCTATAAGCAAAGAAATAATTAAAAACATAAGAAATCATGAATAACAAAACGCATCTCAGTCATAGTGACTTGAAAAGAATTTACTGCAGAACTTCTTGCTGTACCTTAGGCACAAAAAATTCACAGGAGTTTGCTTTCATAATTTCCTTCAGTCTAGAAACAAGAAATTCCTCCATCCTCTTGAAACCACTCTCAGATTTCTTAATTGACCATCGTCTTGTACGTGCATCCCTAGATAGAATAGAAGAGGACTTTCTAGCATCATATAATTTTGACCTCTTGTATAAGTTTCGACGGAATAATTGCTTTGCTGTGTCTCTCTTATCCACACTATCAAAATAATCCTTCAGCTCACCAAAATCATCCCTAATAGCTAAACTGCTGGCCTTGGAAACAGATGAAGTTTGCTCAGTAATCTGTTTAAGGCTTCTGATTTTATGTGGCTCCTCTGCAATTTTGGTCATGCATGAACTTCGGCTCTTAATCCATTTCACATTGGTAAATTTAGGAGTCAGCTCTGCAAACTGGCTGCACCCTCTAATGTCTACTTTACATAAACCAGGAAATGAAAGAAGAATTTTCTCAAGCATGTCAGCAGTAATATTGGTGCAACCAATCAGAGTCATCGATTTGATCTTGTCTTTCTCATAAGCATTCTGCAACCAAAGAATCAGATTAGATGAGAAAGGCAAGGAAACATTCCTGACAATGTTTAATGCAAAATATACAATAAACCTACCACAATGTTCCACATTATGGAATCAGTGCAAGAATGACCCAAGGATGACAAATTGACTTGTCTCGAGACTTCTTTGTAAAACCTTACAGAAGCTCTCCAGTGCTTGCAAGTCATTGATGCAAAGACAAGGGACTTCAAATCTGATCTCAAACAGTGGAATATTCGTGCCAACATTTGACCATTCAATAAGCCCCAGCTTCCCACATTTGAATCAGTAATGTCACTTTCGTCTAGGGAGAAAGTAGCATCGCCACATAGAGCCTCAAATGTGAATTCATCATTCTCAATAGCCAGACTTCCATCTTCGAAATCACTATCTTCTTCACTATCATCAACCAGAAGTCGCGCTCTTTTCGAGGAACGTGCTTCGCCTTCTGAAATAAACATGCCACAACACATGCACATTAACACACCAAGCAAATAAATCAGTAAAATTCATCAGGAGTGCATTTGAATGAAATATTTGGGATCCTAGGATACATATAATGTACAAGATCCATATAAGTGCATGACAGGAAAGTACAAAAATTGGTTATAGGGGCATATATGCTAACCAATGATTCTCAATTTATAGTCCTAAACAGGTAAAGCTAGTACATGAGCCTAAAGGGAAATAAATTAGTCCACATTCACCCAGCCAAAAAGCTTAGAAGCCATAAGATATAAGCAGAGCACTTAGAGCGACAAACATAAATTACACCAGCATGTGCAAAAAGTCACCTAGAAGATTCTCAACACATAGCACGTTGAAAATCATACATGATGCAAAGAACAGCAGCCCTCCAAAAAAATAGGTCAATCACAGGCAAAACTTACCACCATACTAGATGTTGCTAGTCTAATTAGAACAAAGTTGCATGAATATGGTTACGGGTACATGAAATTTCTAAAAGTATGATACAGTATAAGAGAATATATAATATACAATGATAAAAGAATAAATAAATAATTACTTTATAATATAAATATAACTCCGCCTATAATATTATAATATAAATATTAAAAGAAAAGTTATTTTTATGAGATGAACCCAAATGATCTTGCTTCTTATTTGGGTTCATCACCTGCTGAGTTCAACTAGTTTGGGATAAAGGTGATATTGATTATAATATAAGGGAAAAGTGTGTGTCATTTTAAAGGATATAAAATTGTGTCATTTTAAGAAAGAGAAAGAGATAGATAAAGGAGAGAGAGTTGACAAAAAAAATAAAGGTGTGGGACCCACCTCTTTGTGAGAGTGAAAGGAGGTAAGTTGTGTCATTTAAAAGGATAAACACTTTTTCCATAATATAAATATGATAGGAACTGGATTCAATTCAAACAAAAATAGGAGAACGGCAAAATATTGCACTATAGCTACTGTTATTAGTGGGATAACAGCAGAGGTATGATCTGTATACAAAGAAAGAAAACGTATAGCAGCGGCATTCGAGAGGCCCTGTCTCTCCCAAGTTCACAATAATTTTTTTTTAGCTTAACTCCCCTCATCCCCTTTTATGTTTTCTGTTCCATTTCTGTTACAACTAGTTTTCCTGCCTAAAAGTAATCACACTCATTCATTGCCTTGCCTAGGTAACTTCCTAAAAAAATAAATACAATTTCCAAAAAGTTCTAAGTCCAAGTTTTCAACATAACTCTGCATATCAAATAATAACCAAAAATACCCGCAGACAAGATTTGAAGGGGTGAAGTAGCAGTTTGTTTCATTTTATAACAAAATCAAACAACTTTGTAGCAAAACTAGGAATTTCACTGTTTTGCATGGATTTGACTTGTTGTAGAGTGATATTGGTTCATTGCAACGCTTCACCAATATGTACCCAAATGTGTTGATAGCAAAATTTGGAAAGGAGGTTTGTATAAGGAGGGGGCACACACAAGTTTTGGGTATATACCCATGTGGACCCAAGAAGCACCTGTACTGACTATACTCAGTACGGTGACAGCAACCATTTAAGAGTACCCATGCATGAACACAATTGGTGAGGAGATTAGGAGAATGTTAAATCTAGTAGTATAATATATATCAACAAACAAGTTTAGGTATCATGCAAGCATACAACAACAGAGTTTTCTTTCAAGTTTGAACAAAAATTGAAAGGAAGAAACAAGATAAAGCTATTCATACAGAGAGCAAAAAGGGGAGGGTAGAGGACAAATCCAAACAAAGTGCCTTTAGATTAGTCAAGGTAAAAGAAATACAATTCATGGCATTGCAAGTATCTTAGCTGGTTCAAACAGACACCAGGGTGACTGTAAAATTTTAAATTGTTACCTGATTTCCAATATGTTTGTTTCTCAATTTCTTTCTTTGGCTGTCTTGCATTGATCCATGGATCCAAAACCTCATTTATAGCTGCAGCAAATTCTCGGCTCTTATATGATTTCATTACTAATTCATGTAGCTTCCCACAAGTATAACCAACAAACTGAGGGTGTAAGCTGTTAAACAAATTTGGCTTAGAGTAAGGTGCACCGAATGAAACACCTTGACTTTGCGTTGATGAACGTCCAGAACATTCACCAGCCACTAAACGGCTTTCTCTGTGGCTCCTGAGACTGACATCATAAGTTTCTGTAGAAGGGGTAATAGGAACCCAGAGTTTATCACATTTCCTAAACACACTGCTATACTTTTTTATAATTCCTTGGTCTACTAAAAACTGAAGCTCTGAAAATGATGAAGGCCCTCTTTCACGCCCAGAACCATCAAGATAATACCATTCACCCAAATGTAACTGTAAGTCATGGACAGTACAAAGATGTTGTTTAGGAATATTAATGAATTCCATGCTCCTGCATGAGCCTTGAGAACCTTGATCATTAAAAGTATTTGACAGAGAATCTTTTTCAGTTGATGATCTCTTGCTATCACTGGTTGAAGACAAAGGCCTTGACCTTGAATGATTTCTATCCTTGCCACGGGTCTTGGGGAGAGACTCGGAGACCAATGATCCCTGGTCCTTGACTACACATGCATTTATCCTGACCACTGAAAGGACATTTCCTTTCACTCCCCTAACAGAAGCAAGCTTACTTTGGCCTGGTCTGCTCATAGCACTGCAATCAACCCTCTCATCAGCACAAAAAGCCCAAAGAGAAAGATCAAGCCTCCTGCTGTGTGATGGATAATATAAGTCATCTTTTTGAGGCCAACGAGGATCTTCACACCCAGATTTAGGCATTTGACATATAGGAAACCCATCATTTAGGACAAGCTTCTTCTTACAATATCTATCTTGGGCATCATCATTCCTCTTCCAGTCCCCGCCTCTGCATGACCATCGAGCAGAAAACCAGTCACCAGGGACACCGGGGGTAAATGCATTATCCTTGTCAGAGGGCATACTTAACTGAGACTCATATTCTTTTGAAGCGAAATCAATTTTAGAATCACACTCTATGCTGAGGCAAGTTTCATGCCAAGGAAAACCTAAACAAAAAGAGATGAAAAAACTTGTCATCAAGGAAACACCTCCAGGTTCATATCCTCTTGTTTTTTTAACTTGTCTAGATGAATTGTAAACTTCAATGCACAAACTAATTTTGGGTGCATAACATAATGAATAAAATCACCATTTTAAGTTCAATATATGACAAAATCGACAACTTGGTTTAAAACCTCAGTAGTTCATATCAAAATGCATTTGTTTTAATAAAAATCAAACATGTTATTTTATTCACCAAATGTACTTGCAACATATAAATACATCCAAAAGTTTATACTACCACCATATGACTTGTAAAGCTACAAAGACATACTAAACCACCACAAATACAGATTGAGCACAATGCAAATTAAATAGAGAATTCAGGCAAGCACTACAAAACTATAATGGAGTCAAAACTGAAATTATTTGAAAACTACCATATAGACCATTACAAAACAATTTTCATAACAGATGTCAACTCCATGCATTTGTTTGAATAGATACTACTTCCAAAATACAGTGCGCACCTATTTAACGCATAATTATTATATACAAGTTTCAAATTTTTATCACCATCAGAAAAATAGTCAACATGTCGAAGTGTGAAACCAGTAAAATACTAGAAACTATAATAAGAAGCTGCCTTCCGTTAATCATGCAAAGACATTGATAGAAGACAACTCTACTTAAAAAACCTCATGTTAGCCATGTATCAACTAACAGAAACCCAAAAAAAAAATTTAGAGAAAGGGACTATTCCTTTGAATATAACACCATACAAAGCTTTAAATCAAAGCTAAAAGTAAGACTTTTCAACCAGTATATGACAACTTTAGATGAAGAAATATCAATCCAAATGAACCATGAATTATTAGAACTGATAAATAAAAAAATTAAATGGAAATGAACAAGCACTACCCAGCAATTACATACCTTCATGGTCTTCTAATCCCTCCCATTTTGCATATTCAAAATTCATTTGCAACGCTTCTGCAAGACAATAAAATAAACAAGTTAAGAAAGATAAGATATTGCAGCAACTAGGAAGAAATTACAAATTTATATAAAAAATCTAAGATTTTATTTTTTATGTTGTAAAAGAAATCTGCACAAATATCATTGACAGGACAAACCACCTTTTATTGCCTCAAGCTCCCTTCCAGGAATGACATCATAACCCTCTAACAGAACTCCAACCCTTTCATCAATGTGGAAGTCCTCCAACAGTTCAGATGCAGGAACACTGTCATCAGGGCATACCATTGGCTGCAGCAAAGCGGCCGGCATTTCCTCATAATGCTCAGGACCAGATTGAAGAATACCTCCAGTATCGGCCAAAAGATTACCAGGAGCTTCTGGAGGGTTTACCAGCTGGGTTATGGTGTCTGACACAATTGACGGAAAAGTCTGAGCTGCAAGTGGTGATGCTGCATTTTCAACAGTTAACCACCTGTCACTATCTAAGTGCTTAATAAAGTGATCTGACATTAGTACACCGTCATCAACAAGGACCTTGATGTCAGATAATTTAGAAGGTCCATGTTCTACACCACCATAATCAAGGTAAAACCATTTCCCTGATGACGAATCTGCCACCACAGGGACATGTGGAGGGGTATCACATATGTCCATATCTTCTTCCATAGAAGGCAGCTCCTCAAGAGGTGGCTCCAAGCAAGGAGAGTCTTTGCAGCTTGCAATCGGGCTGCAGGACTGTTGTTCCTTTTCAAGTTCACTGCAGACATCTTTCTCAATAGACCCATTGGCATCATGCATATTTCTTTTGCATTGAGATTCTATACCTGAAATATTTGACTCCTTTTGGATGTGTTTATCTTCATTATCCTTACAACTATATTGAGAGTTATGTTTTTCAGTCGATAAGGTTTTACTACTTGTTTCTCGATGAATATTTTTCCTAGTTCGATCAAGTGGGGATTGCTCTACTAAATTTGGAGTACGGTCCCTGCGGTCATGATGTCGACCTCGATCTTGGGGGGACTGCTCAGCATGAGCAGGACTTCTCAGTTTGTGATCATGGTGACGACTTCTATCCCAATTCCTATCATATGGGGATCGCTCACGACCATGCGGGGATTTCTCACGGCTATATGGTGATTGACGCACTGGAGTGCGATCTTTATGATCATAATACCGAGCTCGATCGTGTGGGGACCGTTCAGAATGACCAGGGCTGCGACCATGCTTATCATAAGCTGACCTGGATGGCAAAGAAGATTCATGATGCCTAGAAGTATACTTGTCTGCTGATAATTTTGAAGAACTATTTCTATAAGATCTCTCCACAGAAGGTCGAGAATAGTGCTCTGAATAAACATGGCGTGAGCTATCATCAGAAAGTCTTCGACTTTTTAAACAGGCATAATCTCCATACTGTTTCCACTCAGAGCTGTCTGATTCATTACCATGCCTCTTCAACCGACTTCCAGAAGAGTAATCCCGTGTCTGGTTCCTACCATTGCTGTGTTCGTTTTTCTCCTCATCCACAATCTTTGAACTTATCCTTATATTTCTCTCTTGTCCACTCTCCCACCTGGGTGCACTTTTAGCATGCTGACTCCCACTTCTATTGAACTCCTTCTTCCTAACGAATTCATCACCTGTATATCTCCCAGATGGCGGTGTGCGCTCGCGTTCACTTTTCCACACTTTGTCCCTACCTGACTGGTACCTGCGGATTCTATGGTAACCATAATCATCCCTCCCCATGTCTCCCCTATGCCACCTATCTGGAATGAATTCTCCCTTTTCAACATCATCTTTTATACCACCTCTCCAGGACCCATATTCCCCTTTCTCAGTTTCTACTTTCCTACCCTTCCCAGCAAGTATCTCCCCCTTCTCCACATCCTCCTTTCTCCATTTTCCAGAAACAAACTCTCCCTTCTCCACCTCCCCTTTCTTCCACCTCTCACTAACAATCTCTCCATTCTCAATCTCACTCCTCCGCATCGGCAGCGGCTGAGGCTTCTCCGGCACAAACTCTCCATTCTCCAGCTCACTCCCCGGCCACTTCAAAGTACCCAATTCACCCTCTTCCACTTCTTCCTTCTGCCCACATAATTCGCCACTCTCAACACCATTGCCATCCTTGCTGCTTACTCTGTCCGATGCTAATTCACTCTTGACATCTCCCGCCTTCTTTGCGGCGGGTGCCTCTTTCTTCTTCACTTTCATCTTCTTCTTCTTGTTGTCAGTAACCTTGAGCAACTCAGAACTGAACCCGTTCCCATTCCCATTCCCATTCTTGCCTCCGCAAAGGGACTTCTCCGCTGCATTCGGCAACCTCTCCATAACATGTTGCTGCTGCTGCTGCAAAGGCATGCACGCCACACCTCCTTCGCCCATGGAAATCCTCACCTCGGGATAGAAACCTCGAAACCCTAATCCTCCCCTTCACCGGGGCTATTTATGCTCATGCTTCATAAGCTTCACCACCGCACCGCTCCTCAATTCCACGGCTCCAATTTAAAACCCTAAATTCCACACAAAAAAATAAACAAATAAATAAAATCACAACCAAAGCAAATGTAGGGTTTTATCGAAACACAAGTAACCTTCCACACATTCACAAACGTCAAAAAAAAAAAAAACAGAAGCTTCGCGCCCCAATAATAAACTAAAGAAAAGAGCGAAAACCGCAACGCCGAAGAACAGAGACGGGAAAATTACCGAGAAAATGAAAGAGAAAAAGTAAACCACAGATCGGTAAGAAAATAGGACACCGTTCGAATTGGAAGAAGGTTTATCGAACACAGATCGACACGGAGCAGAGGAAACTATGGTTTTGAGAGAAAATTGTGTGTTTCAGAGACTCTCTTTGACAAATCAATAGAAAAAGTAAAAATCTTCGTATCTGGGCTTGTTCTATCTGCTATTATATATCTTCGTGTTTTTTTCTCTTTTGCTGTGGGAGTTCTCTTGTTCGCTTCAAAGAACGAAACCTTCGTGTGTGTTTTTTTCTTTTTGGGGTTCTCTCTTATACTGTATTTATTGGAGTGGGGTGAAAATACCGGAATACCCTCGGAGACCTTGTATATGGTTTATTGGGATGTTATTATGGGAAATTCGTTGACTCATTGCGGAGTTGGTCCAAAGTGCAGGCCCGTTTGGATGGGCTTTTGAAAAAAAGGACTTTTTATATGTTGCTTTTTTAAAAAGTCAAAGTTATTTTGTGTTTGGATGTAATATTTGAAAAATGCTTTTAAGCAAAAAAATGATATTTGGGTGTTAAAATAAAAAAGCACTTATTTCTTTGGGTCATTTTATCAAACACCCACAGTGACCGTTGAATCTGCCTCAGCCACTCACACAAGGGATGGCTTTGTTCCTTCTTCTCCTCGGCAGCACCCAATCTTTGATTCAAGCACCAGTGATTCAAAAGCTCAACACTTTTTTTCTCTTTATCATTCTATTTGTATCTTTCAGACCAAACATGGGTTTGGTGTTTCCTTCATTCTTCCCTCACTGATTTCATCACATCAACCATCACCAACCAGGTAACCACCCTATTCTCTCTCTCTCTCCCTCTCTCTCTTTACCTGTGACTTTTGTGTGGGAGTTCCAGAGAGCAAGATACTGGAACAAGGTGGCTACCATGAAAGAAGATTTTTTTTTTTTTGGATAACAATGAAAATTAAAGACAGACAAAAAAGAAAAGACCAGATCCTAACTAGTCTAGGCATAGCAATGTCCCTTGAGTCGCGAGCTACAAGACTGCTGCATTCGAACGGAGGTGTATCAAAAAACAATGAAGAAGATGGAAAGCAACGAAGGAAAGCACTGGATGATAAGTTGCTTCTAACTTCTCCTTTTTGCAAAAGTCAGAAATTTTGGCTTTTACAAAAAACAGTATTTTAACTTTTTCCTTAACTTCTCCTTTTTTTTAAAAGTTAGTCTCCAAACACCAAAAAAATTACAAAAGTGCTTTTTTTTATAAAAAAAAAAGGACTTTTGGGAGGAAAAAAGTCAATCCAAACATGCACAAAGTGTGCTATTAGCAAGGATTCTGATGCTTCTGCTTCAATGGGTTCGTTTATCCACTTGAAGAGAAAAAAGCTTTTTGGGCCATCATGATGAATCAAATTGTATGCAGAATACCAAATACAAGGCAATGTACTTGTGTATCAAATTAACAACGTTGCCATGTTTTCGCTTTGTATGATTACGAGCACGTGACTAAGGTGAACTTAACAAAATCATATTGGAAATGAATTTTGTGGGGCTCAGATTTCTTATTGAAATACAATCCAAGCAAGCATTAGCGGAAAATATTGGTAACGTGGTTTTAAATTATATTCGACAAGCACCATTGCACTCTAATTTATAGTTTTAGAGGTTTTTACGGCCTTTACTTCCTTGCAATTAGGGGTGTTGTTTGGGGTTAGTTAACCCGGATAGGCCCATAGTTGTAGCCCAGGGATTGGTCCAGTACCTTATATCCAGATTAGCCCATTTCGTTAATTACTTAAGCTGTATCATGATGATCATCGATATCACAATGCCTGCCAAACAAGAACTATTATAACGACCACAAGCATCACCATGCTCGCTACATGGAAAATCAACACCAATAGCGTGGATATCATCACAACCGTCAACCGGGTAATCATTATGATAAGTACGTGTGTATTACAATGCCCGTTAGATGGAGGACCGACATTTTGGCCCTGTACATCAAGGATTTCATGGTGGTCATCAAGTCCCGTCACTACATGGATTGCAAGCAATCTACCCAAGCCCTGGACATCTGGGGGCACTTCCTAGAGGGCAGTATCAAGGAAACCATCACATAATAGTGTCACCCAAAGCACCACTTCAGTATCAACCTTTCCTACCGCAGTTTCAAGCAGACCGGCAGTACCAGGACCTTCCGGAACCCCTTTAACGTGGAGGTTGAGGGCAGAGCCCATTACGATTTGGTTTAAACAACCAAATGACTTGAAAGCATTTGATGGAAGTTCAGACCCACGGGAGTTCATTACCGTCTTCTAAGTCGCTATGTCATTTTTCGAGGAGACAAATTCTTTGCTTTGCAGGACTTTTCCTGTTTTCTTAAGAAAACAGGCTCTAGAGTGGTTTACTACACTTCCGGAGAACTCTACTAATAGTTGGATAGACTTCGAGCTATGTTTTACGCAACAGTTTGCACATTGCGGACCTCAACCGAAAACCACTCATAACCTGAGTGGGATAAGACAGAAGCCCGAGGAGAAGTTAAGAAAGACTATGAGAGTTTCCAGGCATAGGCCAGGCAAGTTCGAGGCTTGGAAAATCAGACATATTTATTGTTGTTTACGACTGGGTTGCAATCTGACAGCCTGGTCAACTCTCTTGCAAAAAAAAGGCCCGCCACAAAAGAAGAGTTGTTAGAAAGAATTCGGAAGCACATTGATTTGGAGGAGTTTCAAGCATCCCAGAGGGAGATTGGACATGGTTTTCAAGAAGCCACTCAGAACAAAAGACCAGATAGACTTGCCAACAGGGAAAAAGGGAAGAAAAGATACCCTACTTATAGGAGAAATATTTAAGGAAGGATTTGGGAGAGAGTATACTCCTTTAAATACTTCCTGGACATAAATTTTGAAGGAAGTAATGAACACGGAGATTAGGAACGTGCAGAGGCCGCCTCCTATCAGGTCGGCCTATGCTCAGACTGACCGAACGAAGTGGTGTGAGTCCTATAGATGTCACGGGCACATGACAAATGAGTGCTTCAATTTACGGGTGAAATTAAGCAACTGATTAGGGAAGGAAAGCTTCAGAACACGTTAGAAGAGGAAGACCATACGACTGTAAAGAAAGAGAAGGACAGATAGAATCGGGAGCCCGCCTGCGGAAAGAAAGAGAGAGGCGAACAAAGAGCATAAAATGGAGTTCGCTTCTTCACCATCCAATCACGTACAGGTCGGACATGTCTGCACCATAGCAGAAGGGCGAGCTGATGGAGGAGAATCCGGCAATGCTCCTTGAAACACTTGAAGACGTGCATGGCAATTTATGCACAACCTAGATTTAAGGAAAAACAGAGGAAGACAGGCAAGCAAGTAGTCTTCGATGATTTTGATGATGAAGTGTTAGACCCAGAGTTTGATGTTTGCATAATGCATTGGAAGCAAGGCACGACAGTTTGATTTTTGTTACTTAGATTTTGGGTGGCAGTGTAGACAGAATGTTGGTTGACCCCAAAAATTTAGTTGATATCATCTTCTGAGACGCGTTTAGCCAGTTAGATCTAGACCACGATCAGTTGGAGCCATGTGGAGTAGACCTAGTTGCATTTACGGGAGATAGGATCAAGCTAGTGGGCTATATAAATCTAAGGTTGACATTGGAAAAGGCGCATACTCATAAAATGGTGTCTTTGCTCTTTACAGTGGTGGATATCCCCTTCGCCTATAACATTATCCTCGGCAGGTCGTTCATAAAGAAGTTCAAAATCTTCTTGTCCATCGATCAACTCGCCATGAAGTTTGTAGCGAAGGATGGCAACACGGTAACCATCAAGGCGGACCAGCTGGTAACACATAGCTGTTATAATATGAGTTTGAGGATGTCATCAGAAAGTGAGCAAACTCCCAATAAGAAGGAAGACAAAAGAAGTAAGAAGAGGGATAAAAAAAATTGACAAAGAAGGAAGTCAAAAGTAAGAGAAAAGGATTACTAAAGAAGAAAGAGGTCAAAGGATTTGGCAAACTCAGAAAAAGAAAAAGGAAAAGAAGTGTAAGTGATGTTCGTCAGGCTGGATCTACGAGGAGAAAATCAAAGGGAAGGCCACAACCCATAGGAAGCATGTTGGAAGTTCATCTCAGAGTTTTATCCGGGAAGGTTACAAAGATAAGATCCAAGTTAGAGGGAAGCGCGATAGAAGGACTGAAGCAGTCGTTGAGGAGAAATGCAAACTTGTTCGCATGGAAGCCGTTAGATATGCTCAAAATAGATCTAGCTTTAGCATATCATCGGTTGTCGATGAAACCGAGTTCCCGACCAGTTGCATATAAGAAAAGAAAGTCTTGCACGAAAAGAAGGAAGGCAATTGAAGAGAAGGTAAATGAGCTCCTAAAGGCCAACTTCATACGGGAAATAGAATATGCTACATGGCTTGCCAACCCGGTGCTAATACGAAAATCGAATAGGAGATGGAGAATGTGCATGGACTATTGTTGTCAAAAACTAGTGTAAAAACGTAAAAGCTTACGTTTTTACGTTTTTCCTAGAGTGGTCCGTGTTAAAACTCAACTAAAAACGGTCCTTGGCAAAAACTGGTAGAAATGCCGCGTAAAAATGTAAAAGCGATGAAAACTTACGTTTTTACCGTTTTGACCGCTTTTACTTAAAACTAAAAGTTTAATAAATAAAAAGATTTACAAAAAAAATTAAAAAAAAAACCTAATTTTCATTTTTCCCAAATCATATTCACATTATCTTAATATCTTTTTGTTTGGATATATGTTTTTTATAATTATGTCTTATAAAGTTGCAATTCTATTATAAGTTATATTATAAGAATCGTTTTGTGTTTTTGGATCAGTGTGTGCATTGAAAGATGTGCAATTATATCCTGATGAGCGATGATCCAAAATCTGCAGAGTGTATAAAACAGTTAGAGCAGATTGGTTATCTATTACTTGTTAATTATCACTATTTATAATTTTGACACTTGGTTATGAAAAATAATTTTCCTTTTTAGATAGATAAGTGGCTCAACACACATGTTCATTGTGTGATATTTTTTTCTTGCATATATATAATTTT